TGAGCATATCTGGTTTCCAATGCGATAGGTAAGATCAACTAAGATATCCCGGCTTTTTTCTCTCTCTCGAAAAAGAAAAAAGAAGATATCCCAGTTTTCTGAGCAATTATTTACTGAACTGAAGATGGAACGGTCTATTTTCAGAGCTCCAACAAAGTAACCACGACAGGTTCCGAGCTGAAGGGATAGACGGTCTTATTTTGTTGGGTGTGGATGATCCAACTTTACTGAACTCAACTTACCCAAAAGTAAATAAAGTTTTCCGAGCACTACTCTACTTCTGTTAATACATCTTATTATTGTCTTGCCCTTGATGAAAAACAAAGTTCCCCTTTATTCAAACCAGAACTTACCGGCTCCCTAATTTCTATGGATGCAAGTGCAGAAATCTTACATCCTTGTAAGCTGTGCTCTCCTTGAATAATTTGAAGCCGTCAGCTGTTAAAAACAAGAGAAAGGTAGTAAGTAATCAGCCCTGGTGATTAGTGAAGATATCCATCATCTATCTTTGCTCTACAATCTAAATAGTTTAGGGATTCTCAAATGGAACAGAAACAAAATGTAGTGAAAACTTACTTGATGTAGAACGGGTAGCGGCAGCGTGACTGCACATACTGTCCACACGACCCTGGCAACAACCTGATTTGAAATATATCATCAGGAACTGTTCTTTCAGACCAAGAATAAACTATGCAGAGGAATATGCTTGTGCAACTTATAAGTTGTCAAGCAGATCAAGATAGAAGGTGTGGGCAAGTGCAGTGGAGATACAGAGTCATATGTAATGGATGATCAACTTGTGAAGATGAGATAATGCATCCTCCACTGCCTTGTGGGACCTTGCAACACCCACTCATCAATTAGTCAGTGAGTGGGTCCCAATTTGGATACGAGCAGAAGACAACCCCAGCAGGGTCAGGAGAAGAACACAGGCTACTACAAGCAGCAGCATTCACAGGCCGGAGAAGTGTGCTGACGAGGTGTGACACACAGCACATTAACACAAGAACTCAACATCAGCTACCGCTCAGGAATCAGGATCCATCTTTTAGATGTGGCAAAGTTCGATTTCAGCTTCAGGTTCAGAGCACGACCGCTCAGGATCTATCTGCATCAGCTGACCGCCCACGGCCACCGGGTGGACGACGAATGAAATCCAGCTCCACACATCTCTCCGCAACTGGATGCACATGTGCATCGATTTCACAAGGAAAAATAAAGAGTTTGTAGTGAGATCTGCATCGACGAACATGGTTAGGTACTCGCGACACAATCCAGTTTCAGAGTTTCAGTTAGAGCATCTCTTGGTGTCCGCTAGAGCAGTGTGTACAGTTTCAGTTTCAGAGTTGGACTTGGTGCCTCCTGATTTTAGGTAACTATTCATCTAAGCAGTACGTAAAAGTAACTAACAGATACCAGGTTTCAGGGCAACTATTTACTGAGCTGAAGGTATGGATGATCTAATTTCAGAGCAACTGTTGTCAGAGTTCCAGGAAAGTAACCACAACAGATTCTAGGGTATGAATGATCCAGTAATTTACTCAATTGAAGTCACACAGAAGCGAAGCCGTTCTAGTGAAGATGTCCATCATCTCTATCTTTGCTCTACAATCTACATGCTCTAGGGATTCTGAAATGGAACAGAAACAAAACGTAGTGAAACCTTGTGCGATGGAAGACGGACAGCGGCAGCGTGACTGTACATATTGTCCCTACGATCCAGACAACAACCTGATTTGAAATATACAACATTAGGATTCTTTCAGACCAAGGAAAAATTATGCAGGGGAATGTCTGTCCAGATTATAAGCTGTCAAGCAGATCAAGATAGAGGGTGCAGTCAAGTGCAGTGGAGATTCAGAGTCATATCAGCAATGTGACGACAGAAGCAAAAGATACCCGTTTTCATCTGCATCCATTCACAAGTCAAACATGATGAAATTATATTCAGATGGAACTTGATTAGGCATTCGTGAAATTATGTTCAGTATTCTTGCTGTCAGCTAGAGCAAATGGGCAGAGTGTTTCAGATTTTAGCCTAGCTTGAGTTTCAGGTTTTGCAATGCAGTAGGTAAAGGTAACCAAGATGAGAGAGATCCCAGTTTCCAGAGCAATTATTTACTAAACTGACGGTATGACTGAATGATTCAGTTTCAGAGGAATTATTTTCAGAGCCCCAAGAAAGTAACCACAGCAAGTTTTAGTGTATCGAACTAAGGATGATCTAGTAATTTACTGTACTCTTGTTAGTCTCTTAGTATTATCTGATCCTTGATAAAAACAAAGACTCCCCATCAAAATCCATCCAAAACAGAATTTACCAACACCGAAATTTCTATAGATAGAAGTGCAGAAACCTTACATCCTTGTACGCTGATGGAAACCTTACAAAATGCAGTGAAAACTTACTTGATGGAAAACGGATAACAGCATCATGACTGTGCATGTTGTCCATATGATCCAGACAGCAACCTGATTTGAAATATAACATAGGATTTGCTTTTTCAGACCAAGGACAAACTATGCAGGGGAACGTTTGTGCAAATTATAAGTTGTCAAAGGAGATCAAGGTAGAAAGTGCAGTCATGTGCAATTACTCCTTGCCTGTACAAAAGTAGGCTCTGGAAGATTTGAAGGGGGCTGCAATAGTGCTTTTCCAAATAAAGATGACCAGGCCATAAATTAGTTAGCAACAATAGATCGTACAGCTAAATGTTAATGTGATCTTTCTCCCCAATAAACATCCTCCACATCAACTCAATGTTTAAACACAGATCGGTTACAGCTCCATGCATTTTATCAAACTCCCAAACAGGGTAACAACAAGATTATATACCAAACAACAGTTTTCACTGCTAAACTCTTGGAATAATAAAGAGACAGTAGCATTAGTCGCAAGTGTTGTAGATTTGCAAGTTCAGATGATTACCGCTAAATTAGACTGAAGAACAACACTGTCGGTCGTCATGCTGGATTCAGATATAACGATGAGTATTGAAGAGAAATAGTGATAAAACAAACTACAAGGCGACAGTAAAAAAGAAGGAACCACCATTTGCCATAAATTCGAGACAAACCTGCAAGGTGATAGCCTTCTGCCCAGGGATCCAAAAAAGAGCAGACCCGGCAGGCAAGATGCATGTATCCTTGATAACTTTATACGTGCTTCGTGGCTGGAAATCATGCTAATCTGTTGTCGTTGAAAGATAAAAATAAGTTTTTGCAAATTTAGTGGCGACATCAATTCATTTGACAAAGAACACGTTCCCCACCACATCAGGTGTCTTACCAGAAACATTTATGTCCATGGCTCGAGCACCGTCAAAAAAATAGTTCATTCTGCAAAGCATTGTAAAGAAATTACAAGAATGGCATGGTTAAATTTGGAAAGAAAGAAATCCATCCAGAATCCAACTGAAAAATTGGTGGAAAGAATATGTCGGTTCATCAAACAAAAAAGATAATCCATGAGTTAGCAGTACAAATTCTGAAGGTCTTTTACAAATAGCTAACCATTTGGTATTAGTTTGCATTAATATATTTCAATTATTCTCCCCAGGCATGAAAGAAAACCAGACTGCTAACATATACATGAGATGGGACAATACTGAAGTATTGACTATGCAGTGATCGATCACCTGATTGAGATGGTTGTAAGCCATGAAAAAGTAAGATATCCAACAGTTCTGCAAATTTCTTTTCTTTTACGGGTTTGGGGTGGGGTCATGTTCCTTTGTGCAGAGCACACATTTTTATGGCCAAATTGAAATAGTTCTAAGATCTCACAATCGACACAACCAACAGTTCCAGCTTCCTTTGTCACAAAAATTAAGGTAGGTACTTATTATGGCTTTTTCAGATATTGGTCAACCTCCTTAACCACAACATGCAAACAAAACAAGGATTGTATGTGTCATTTTGACCAAAATAATCATATTTGACAAACATTCTTCAGTTTACACAATCTTACAGAAGCTGGGCCAGAATCATAGCAATTTCTACTTCAATGTTGCTATTACTCAAATGACCATATGTTTCACGTCAGACAAGATACTAGACAGCAATGATCAGTAAAAGATCCAGTATATATTATAGGCAAGTGTTCGCTGCTGAAAAAAGCACTTAACAAATATTCACCTGAAAGACAAAGTGACGGTTATATTCTGCTCTGGCTGAGGCTGGCGGAGTGACGGTTCCAGATATGTTACTTCCATCCATGTGCTCTGCTATTTTCTCCAAATCGGAGGAAGGAGATGTGGCATATATGTTCATGTAGCATTATGTTGACCTGCGATTCTGCAAGGGACATGGCATAAGCAAATGTAAGCATAAATTTCTCACAGAAGTGACAAGTATTAATAATTGCTACATTAACTTTCTGATACAGGAACAGTCAATGAATAGAGCAAGAAAAGAGATGTATTAGTTCAATATAAAGAACCTCATCTTCTTTTCAGGTGCAAACATACTACCTAGTGACACAATTGTCATCATTCAGAATTTGGACAGTGAAATAAGCAACTGAGGTAAATTCTCAGTAATTATCTCCTCGAGCAACTTCCCCTGTTTCAGAACCTTACGACAAGATTAAACAAAACATGTTACCAGGAAGTTACCAATACAAGCTAGCAAGAGAAGTATTTTGTTTTTCACTCTAGTAACAGAATGGGAATACATGGTAAGAAACTAAAGAAGCTCATAGATGGCATAAGTAAATTACTTCACTTCCTCCAGGGATTCGACCTTTTTCCTGCAACACAATAATTGCTGCAGACATGCAACAATGTTCAGTTCATGGCCAACCAAAATATACAGACAAAGTGAAGAAACAAACCCAACCTTTCCAAATTAGTTAGCAACAATAAACCATATGGTTAAATGTTAATGTGATCTTTCTCCAAAATAAACATCCTCCACATCAACACAATGTTTAAACACAAATAAGTCACAGTTCCTAGATATAAGCATTAAACGATAGCATAGGTACTACAGCGATTAGGCTACATGTTCGCCATAGCCGACTTGACGGAATTCAAGATCCTAAAGTAGTCGTAGAACAAAGATGAGTGCTCGCCCTCCAAGCCATCACGATGGTGTCGGTTGCTTCCGGCAAGATTGTTACATGGGCTGCCCCCAATCACCAAGTCGAAGCCGCCAAATCGTCTAACATATGTTGCAATTTCATCATCCTTGAGGGATTTCACATCAGCTATCTCAATCAATGTGCCCGTCTGGGTCTGATCCCACCAACTCCTCAAAATCTGCCTATTAGCTTCGCCTATCTCAACGGAAACTACTACCCTCATGTGGATCCCAAGCTTGTGCAAGGCAACCTCTCCTCCTCCAATACCGGTGAATAAGGACAGCACCCTCACACCATTGGGAAACATGCCCCTCAGCACTGACAAGTGGTAAGCGACAGTATCGACTTGGAATGAGTTGCCGAGAGACTTGTATCTCTGTGTCTTGCCGACTCCTCTTGTGTGGTCCTTTGGGAAACCAAGAAGATACTCCATCTCATGAGGTTCCAATGGAGCAGCTTTGTCTTTGCCAACCCAGACAAGGTTCCATTTTGAGCACTCATGCCTGACATATTTCTGTACACTTTGAGGTGGTGGATTGCCTGAGCTTGAAAGTTTCTGCTGGATCCGTTCTGTCACCGTTGCAGGGGCCATACATGTTTGCAAGCAATTGAGGTGCGTTCTCTGGTCCCAGGATGGCCACCACTTCTTGTAATGAGGGAATGCCTCAAAAATTGTCTTTGGAGGCAGAGGGAGAAGCGGTGACCTGTTCTCGGTTGGCAAATTGTGGATATATCCCCTTTTCCTGGCAGCTGCACACAGATGAAGAGAATCCACAAACTCAGGCTGGATGTCAAACAGAAATCTTGTAATTTTTGCCCATACACCTTTTGGAGCTCTGGCCACATTTTCATAGTAGAAATAAGGTGGTCCGGTAGCTAGTTCAGGAAGCACTCGGGTCATTGATGGTCCCCTATAACCAGGAAGGTTAAACCCAACCATTGGTTTTGGGAGAGGCATTGATTCCTCATCGCTGCCATCCGAGGAAGGTCGTTTGCCTTGTGCTCCACCTCCATATCGCTTCCTCTTTTTCTTGCTCTCTTCAATCAATCTTGCCCTCTTTCTCCCTCCAAAGGAATCGAAGCATCTAGCTGTAACCTGCCAATGTACACAGATTCCAGTGTCCTTCATCAAATTAAAAGAGGGAAACCACCATTTTCCTGTTTGAATGTGCATCAAACCACAAGATACCTGATGGTCAGATAAGTTTCTAGAGTGACAAACTTCTGTAACCTGTGATGCACTAATCGAGTCGACCAATACAGAGAGATCAGCATCCACACCTAGGAAAAATTTCAAACAGAAGTATATAGCATAAGGTGGTGCCTTTTCCATGAAGAAAGAATGACGATCAAACAGAGGCATACCACATATCGTAATGGCCATGTTTGCTTCATCTTCAGAAAAGCCCATGTCTCGCAATGAGTTGATCTTCTCGTCCTTGTCTGACATCTCTCGTAGAAACTCCTGCACAGAGGTACGACAAAAGCCGAGATTAGATGTCAGCTCTAACAGGTAGATGTTGCTTTCCTGAGGTTGGTCTTGGAGGGCAGTTTGATGCAACTAATTAATGTGGTAAGTGATGTTCTTTTCCAGCATTATGATCATTTTCAAATAATTTGCTTGTAGCAAAATAAATCCACAAATCGTAAGACTTGTTACTGATTTTCAAATGCATACGAACTGAAGAGAAAACAAGTGGTGTCTAACAGAAATTAATTCTCTGATTCATGAAATTCACAAAGAAGCAGGACAATAATACACTCAGTTTTCTACTGTTTTTCCAGTTTGTTTGATTACTCTGCGGGAGATATTGTCTAACGTTATTCAACTCACTCCTTATATTACGCTCTTATAGGAAAAAAGAACTTTAACATGGTGAAAATTCTATGTAGAAAAATCAAGTGCTCAAACTTCACAATGCAATACTACACTGATGAAAGCTCAAAACAGTAAGAATTCTTTGCTGCTGAACTGGAGATAAGAAATCAATTACCTCATAACCAGAGTCATCAGAGCTTGATACTCTACCACCAGTATCATCATCGTCATTCCAGTTCTCAAAATCAAGATCATCATTACCTTCAACAATAGGGGGGTTGCAGCCAGAAGTAGAGTGATTGCCCACTGCATCATCATCATCACCTAGTGCCTGCATTTCACATCTCAATCGGAATAAACGACCCTTGCCATGAATCAAGAGCAGTACAGAATAAATTCAGTAATAAAGCACATGGATAAATAGTCAAATACCTTGTACGTGAGGAGTAGCTCGAGCAGTGCCTCTGCATCACTATGTCCTGAAATCAAAAGGCGTTAAAAAAAGGTACAAACACAAACAGGATAAATAAAATGGAACTGATTACTTTTATATTACCAATCTCCTTAATACTCCTCACGACCATCTCCTTTGGGAAGCCCATTGCCACATATCCCTCGATCAAAGAAGTAGGCGGCGCTTCCCCGTTGATCCACCCATTGGAACTCTTTAGGCAGTTACACGAACAAATATCACACCATGACCATAATTATAACAAACCATGTATAGCTCTTGAGATGAAGTACAAAATTTATATCTCACTTACGAGTGTGGATGGGCCAGGAGCATCGAAGTTCCTCGTAGCCGGAGCCGATGAGGGCTCAGCCTCACCATCACTGTCCCAGTCAAACTTATCACTATCATCACTACCACTGGTCCAGTCCTGTGACATGAGTTAAGCACAACTCGATTAATATTGAAAGCAGACAACCAGAAAAGCAATTATAGAGAATAAATTGATGCGAGAGAATAATAATTTTATTATGCCACAAATCCACAACAGACACAAGATATCACAATTGAAATCTCCGCCATGAAAACAGTACAACTACATTTGACTCTAGGGTTTAGAATGCATCGAAAGGGAAGAAGAAAAAACCAATTTTTTTATTGAACAAAGTCCCCTCGACCACAATCACAAGAAGAAATTAAGCTAATACCCAGAAAATATACATCAGTGCAACTAGAATCTGATTTGTAGTTTTGGGGATGCCTAACTAACCGAAGTATGCTATGTTTCAGATAGTGGGAAGGATAGTTCGCTGGGCAGTATGACACAACATGCATAGTATTTACAAATCATGATGGAGTAAACTAAAGTGATCAAGTAGGCAATTCTAAAAAGGTGAGCAGATTGACCAGGATTGACCATTATCATGCCTAGAGTAAGATTAACTAAACAAGCACTACTGCAGTGCCATTTGATGATGCTTTTACCAAATGGATAAACGACGGTGTTTGCAGTCCAAATGAACCGCACAGATGCATGAGCTGAAGCGCTGGACAAGTAAGATTTTTCTTCATTTTACCATATAGGTGGATCACGGCAACATAAATTAAAACAACAGAATCCCGGCAATAAAGAGGGTCAACCTGGTAATGCTATGGTAGACTACAGGACTGTCAATTCGTCAACATGAACATCATATGAAACAAGAGGTCATGCGAAAGTCGTAATTCGTAACGCGAAAATCAGCGGTCTCATTCAAATCTAGGGTCCAGAATGCATCAGATAAATCAAAAGAACATATATTAAAGCAAATGGATTGTAAAAAAAGATTCAGATGAGAGCTCCCAACAAAGAAGGTGTTTAGCTTGTGGTGCTCTCTCTGCTATACAGACCTGTATTCTTGACAAACTAGTACAAGCAATGCATGAAGAGGACCCCGGCTGGTATCTTATCAGATACATGAACAATGTGGGAAAATGCAGATAAGGACTGACAACAGATGGAGGAGTTCACCAGCCGATGCAAGAGGTGGATCCTATTCTAGTGTCTGGAACGCATCGAGGAACTTTCTTTCTTCTGATCAAACAAACAACAAAGAAGCCCATATGCAAAACAGAGTCGCGGGTGGAACTAAAACAGCAGGACCCCGGCCGCTATTAGACAGTCTCCACCTGTTGATGCTGCTGCCTGATCAAAAGAGTGTCAATGTGTCAACATGAACAGCATGTGTGAAAGAAAAGACCATGTGACAGTCATCCGCGAAACCAGCAGAGTCTCGTTCAACTCTTATATAGGGACCAGAATGCATCCAGTAAAATCAAAAGAACATTCGGTACATATTAGATTAAATGGACCTTAGGAAGGAAAAAAAGAGAACAGATTTGAGCTCTCTACAAACAAATAAGGTGTTTATCCTGTGCTACAACTGTCTGTATCATTTGGACAGCAAAGTGCAGCATCTCATCTGGAGTGATCCTGATGCACAGCAACTTAGCAAGTGTGTGAGGCAAAATGCAGAAATATAATTGCAGGTAAACTGACCTATAATGGTCTCTACTTTGGAAGTGCAGACAAGTGCAGAGTCTGATTTGGTGTGATCCTGACAGACACATAGCAGGTGCGAGGAAAATGCAGACAAGTTGAGGTAAACTGACCCCAGGCTGTGGGGAACAGATCGAGGAGCTAATGACCGGCCAATGCGGCAGCATCAAGCCCGGTGACGATCCAGTTCTACTACCGCCTGTGACGACGCATCGAGGAAGGGGGAAAGAAAACCCCAAAAACCCCATCCATGTGCAGAACCAAATCGCGCACGCACGGAGAGAGCTACGTCGACGACGAGAACAACAGACAAACACGAGAGATTTTTCCCCTGCATCGGAACGGAGGGCCTGTACGGTCGAGCGGCAGGAAAAAAAGGGGGAACCTTTGGTACGGACGCTGCGCGCAGAGGAATCGCAGCAAAGATTGTGCGGGACACAATCCAAGCACAGGAGGCACTTCGACCGCCCACGATTCCCCCGGAATACTTGGAATCGGAGAGGCTGGCTGTGAGTGGAATCCAAAAGAAGGGGAGGAAAGGAGAGGTATCCCACCGCCATTGTTGGTGCCGGAAGCAGAGGCCCCCTCCGTCCGTCTATCTCCCCGCCGCGAGACAGAGGAGGAGTGGGGACAGCTCGAGGAGTAGCGGGGGCGGAGGCGGCGGCCGAGGAGGAGCGGGAGCAGATCGCGAGGTGACGGCGGCGGCGGCGGGCTCGTCCGGCCCTCGCTGGCCCGGAGGAGGATGGGAGGAGGAGCCGCGGCTGTGCCGAGTGTGCCGCGGCGTGTATGCGGGCGCGTGGTTTGTAGCTGAAAGAAACAAGGAACGGGCACACGCGGGCGGGAATGTGCCTCCGACATGTGGGCCCTGGTGGGGGTGCTTCCCCTGTTTTCATGGGATGTGCGGCCGCACACAAAACTGGCTGCACAGTTCTGTGCGCAGCGCACATCCCAATAATGAAGGAGGAGCGAAAGAGAGGTGTGAACCGAGGAAGGTGTGTGTGAATGGAGTATTGATGATGGTATAATTATGTTGCTAGCTAGCTTAGGGTTGACGCAAACTGCAAAAGTTAGGGTTGGCGCATATATATCCCAATATTGAAGGAGAAGAAAAAAAAAGGTGTGAATGGGAGAAGGTGTGTGGATATATTCATGGTGGCTACAGCAACTCCAATGGGGTGACCCAAACAAACGTCGTTTTTGTCCGCTTTTTGTCCATTAGGGTCGCTCGTCCACTTGTCCGCGTTCGCTTTTTCGTTTGGGTCGGCAGGCGTGCCCAACGGGAAGCCAAACGCATTTTGTGTATGTCCGCGTTGACATTTAGTCGAACACCTTGTTGGCGAGCTCCCGCGCTACCTCGCCCCGCCACTGCGCAGGCGAGTTCGCCTCCGCGCCGCCGCCCCGCCCCGCAGCTCGGTCGTGCCCCGCCGAGATCGCCTCCGCCGCCACCCGTCCCGTCGAGCTCA